CTCTGTGTGTGTGTGTGTGTGTGTGTGTGTGTGTGTGTGTGTGTGTGTGTGTGTGTGTGTGCGTGTGTTTTGTAGACTGTCGCCAGAACAACATTACCCCTTTTCGACCCAGATGACTAGATCCAAATTTCGGAACCAACTGGTTGAACTTCGTTAGTTTCTTCTACATGCAAAACAACTGTCTCCATAACAACACAACTATTAATCAAGAAGCCCTTTTACACCCAGATGAGTAGATCGAGAATGGAAACAAACTGCATGGCCTTAAAATCTTCTATTAACAACGAACATCATGAACTTGACATGAAGCAAACAAAAACCGTGATGTTGCCAACTTGCCGTGTTGTCACGCAATTCTGTCTGAGCCATTATATAACTTATATAATTTATATTACGTTTTCCTTACGCTTATGCAGATCTTAGGTCTTCTTGTTGCTTGCTTGCTTGCTTGCTTGCTTGCTTGCTTGCTTGCTTTTTACTGTGCACAAGCTGCCCACATCCCCGTGCGACGTAACGAACTGTTAAGGCTTGTTGTCACGATCATTGTGGTTGATCGCAAGCTGCCCACATCCCCGTGTGACTCAACGGCCCACCCAGTTGCACTCGATGAACAAGATGCAACGTGAAGGAGGAGGAATAGTCCTGTGCAATATTCAGTACAATTTCACCTTATATGCTGTCTGTTCTATTACAAAAATGCTCATTCGTATTCATCGAACCTGGGCACCTGCAAAGAAAAAGCAGAGGGTCAGTCGCATAAACAAACAAACTTTAACAAAGCACATCACCACAGTGTGTGTGTGGGGGGGGGGAGGGAGGGAGGGGAGTAGTTCTCAGTTATAGTAGGAAGGGAGGAGGGGGAGAAAGAAGGGGTAGGGTGGAGGGATAAAGAATGGATTCAGGATAGACAACAACTTACAGGGTTATCACGAACTTATCGGCAAACTTCTCGGTATTCACCCCCCTGAGCAGAGTAGTATGGAGTGGGAGTTGGGGGTTCCATCAAGGATCAGAGGGTGAGTCATTGTTATTTGGAGGGGGTGTTATTTGGAAGGGGG